TATGCGTTCTTCCCCCTCTCGTTATAGACCCATCAGTCTCCTTAATATAATTATATAAACATTTTGATGCTTTAATCAACAAGAAGGTCATTGAAAACCTAGATAAGAACACAATCTTGAACGACAGGCAGTACGGATTTCGATCGGCCGATCCACTGCTGATGTTCTAACTACCATTACTTACAGAATCAGTGAGGCTCTTGGTAACAAGTACACCATAAATACTATCGCATTAGATATTTCGAAGGACTTTGACGAGATATAGTACAAAGATTTGCTGATCAAACTCTTCAGCTATACAATTACTGGGAGAGTCTTCTCAGTTATAAAGTCCTTCCTAAAAGGTAGTTTCCTGAAGGTAGTTATTAATAAATGATCTGCATAAGAGTATACACACATCATTTGATAATATCTATAGTGATGACACGACTATATAGGGCCACACCTCCAAAAATCGTGATGATCAGAGATTGGCAACTGGCTCTTCTCAGCAGGGGAAAACTGGCTGATTACACTCAACGGCTCAAGAACCAAACTACTGGAGGTTACACAAAAATAAAAAATAAAAAAAAAAACAGGAAATTTGTTATATTTTATTTAATTGTTAGAATGTTTGCGGGATATTGTTCCAAGATCCTATCAACGCAGGATTTTAAGGATTGTATGTCTGTGATTTCTCTCCTCTATAATTGAAGATGTAACAGTATACTCCATACGGTATTTTTTTTTCATTATAAATGTTTGTTGTTTGTTTTACTTGTTGTGCACCTTGTAGTTACATTCGATCATCGTCGATCGGACCCCAAACTACCGCCAATCACGATGGATGGATGTCTCCTCAGAGAGGCCCCGTGTCTTCAGAGACTTCTGGGCCTTAAACTAACCCCTGACCTCAAGTGGAACTCGTACATACAATCCATCGTTAAAGATGCAGGAAAAATGGCCGGTTCCTTGTATAGGTCCAGTAAATATCTGATTCCTTGTGTTATCGTCTACATTTACAAGAGCTAGATCAGACCTAAAATGGCGTATTTTTGTCATATTTAGGCAGGAGCTGTCCAGTCATCACTTTCCTCCTATCGATAGAACCCAAAAGTGTCTCCGAGTACTTGTGGGTGACATCACCCTACCTCCTCCTCTCTCTCTCTCTCTCTCTCTCTCTCTCTCTCTCTCTCTCTCTCTCTCTCTCTCTCTCTGGCAAGTCTCTCAATGGAAAGTGCTCGAACGAGCTGTATTCCATGGTTCCGATATTTCTAACCTTCATGGTTAGGACCCTCTATAACAGACACATTGTAGCAAACCTACCTTCATTCCTCCGTATTTCATTGGTGAGAAGTAGGTTCCATTCGAACCACTTCTTCCCTCGAACCACGGCTTTGTGGAACCGACTCCCAAGAGGATGTTTCCCCGATCACTACAATCTAAATCTGTTCAAATCTAGGGTTAACCGTTATCTTCCCTTTGTATCCACATAAACTGCCTCTTACTCTCTAACACTCCACCTCGAATGGCTCCTGGGCCTTGTACAGAGCGAACCTCAATTTTAAAAAAGCCAGCAAGACTGTAAGATTAAATAAAACAAGAAATAATAGAGAATAAAAAACAGAGAAATCGTCAAATGATTGAAAAGAAGGAAAGAAAGAAATAGACTCGAAGGAAAATTGAGGAATAAAATAAACTAACAAGAATAAAAACTAAATAAAACAAGAAATAACAGCCAAGAAAAATCGTCAAGGAAAAAAAAGAAAATTTCATGTAAGTGAACAAAGGATTATTTTAAGCAGTACTGAACAAAAAAAAAAAGAAAATATAGTCACAAATAAGAAGGCGAAAAAAAATCGAAAAATTAAAATTTACTGAAAAGGTCAGTGTTATTTTCGACTTTTGGGATTGTTGGTGAAAACGTTAATTAAAAGTAAACAAAAATTTTGAAAGGATCGATCGGGGCTTTTTGCTTGCTTTTTAAGTCATTGTTTTCTCTCGTATTCTTGGAAGTAGCTTACTTGCTTAATGTTTTCTTAAAAATGTTAATTAAAAAAGCATGGCAATTTTCCAAATAATAATCATTATATTTCTAATCCTTAAGCCAACAACAAAAGAAGGAAAAATCGAAAAAAATACAAGAATAGTAATTACAATGAAAATGTCAGTAATAAAGAAAAACGAACAATGATGCTAACAATAAATATAACAACAGCTACTATAACAGTTAAATTGAGTGCCAGAAAATCGTTACAATCAATAATAATGTTCATTATATTGGCAGTATGGATAATATGTCTAAAATGCCAGTAATAATAATTACTAGTATTGCTACTGTCAAAATAATAATATTAATAGCATCACGCTTCATTATACAAATATATATACATATATTAATTATATATGATGAAAATCGTAAATAATAATAATAATAATAATAACAGCTCAGATACTAAGGAAAATGTGTTACGTCTAGGAGGTGAGATATGACTATTATCAATCGGTGGACAAATCTAAGAGTCGTAGAAGATCCCAAGAATAATGAGATTGATAATAATGACGTCATCACGATAAAGCACATTCGCGTCTCCATTGGTGTTTGTTCCGGAAATATGGATACCAAACTTTCGACAAGTGGTAAAAACATAAGCCGAAGAAGGTATTGAAAAATAAGCCTGTGACTTCACGATTCCGAGTGACTGAGTTTACGAACACACCTAACAAGTTTTCATTAGCGTCTCTTGATAGATGTGAGATGTCTTGGAGATCACTCGATTGCAGCTGAAAAAATTGTGAACTACTCTGAGTTGAGTGCAGAGGTTGAGAGATTGTGAAAGGTATATTCTCCCTATAACTCTTGGGTCGATTCCAAAGAAGCTCTAGAATCAGCTTGATAGCATCGGAATCGTACCCAGCTTACCAAAGTTACAAAAACAACAAGCTTAGGCAGAGAAAATATCCCGCCGAAAGTGTTTGCTGTCTCAGATTTTACAGAGAGTCGCTTTTAATTATTTCCGGTGTTTGAAAACAACACCGTTAAAATCTCGATTTCAAAATAACAACAATCATATTATATGATGGCTGTTGACTTGTTCAACGCGTATGACTATCGCTGACAAGTCTGAGAACGACAATGGCTCATGATGCCAGCAAGTTGTACTGTACAGAGTTTAGCTTGTTTTATAAAGATCATAACTTGCTAAAAGCCTGGCAATAAGACTTTTCTTGTGGCTAAAGAGGCCAGAATTATGACACATACACGTTCATCACATGTGCACTACAGTTCAAATGTTTGAAACCATTCCCAGAATTAAGATGGGATGAACTTGAAAGAAGAATGAAAACAAAAATGTAAAAGAACTCTTAGAGTCACTGGAAAAAGAATGGAATCAATTAACGATGATTCTTGAATTGAGAAACTTTTGCAACGAATACCAAATATTTGTTCTGCATTAATCGAGGCTAAAAGAGGGTATTCTGACGAATAGAAAATTTAATCATGAGATTTTTTTTTCTTTTTGTCATAATAATTTCTAATAAAACATCATATCTCACTTATTTTTAACAATGTATAATAATTTTCTCTTATATAAAGTACAAAACAACTATTTTGGAAACCAGTTTTTAAAAAATACCAGGGGATTTATCTCAGACTTTTGGACTGTAGTATATATTGCTGGATCAATGATATCTACTTTCCTTGCTGTACGATAATAATACTAATAATACATACATAAGGATTGCTCCGTCTTGTCAGAATAACGCAATCTCTTCATTCCTCACCGCACAACAATGTGTACTTATATTATTCTTCGGCCCAGTCTCAGACTTGCGTAATTGTTTGCAGATATGACATATCTTTTGTCTGAAATACGTATTTTCGAATTTCTCGTCAAACCACCAGCTGACATACTAAGCCACATGAAGTACATGTATGCCGTGATGGGCGTATCAACTACTTGATTCTAGCTCGGTCTATGCTACTTTTACTAAACCTGCTCTTGAGAAGGTTTTGTTTAGTGGAATATCAATCCGTATGGGTTATTTAATGCTGAAATCTAAATATGAAAATTCAAATTGGTAATTAATTCAAGAGAATGATATCATTATATTTTAATTATTTAGCTGCATTTCTTTTTTACCAAATAATCATACAAAATCAAAGGATGAGTGAAAACCTTACAAGAAATGAAATTAATCATAGGAAATTGCTTTTTTTTTCTTGACAATATAAGGCATTTCACTACAAAAATATATTCGTATTTTTTTGTACCAAATGTATTGCTGGTATTTTTAATATAAAAATGTATTTTTATACTTTCTTAACTTTTTGATTTTTGTGTGGGGGGTTCACTATGTGCGCGTACCTAAGACCATGACATGTTCTACCCCCAACCCCAACCCCGGATGGGGGGGTGGGCCTGGGAAGGACAACAATTAAAAGGAGGTTTCATGCTCCCCAATATCTCCAATCTCCTAATCAGAGGACTTGCTGCCGGATGTAGTTTATCGTCATACCCAGGAGATCTTGAGAGAAGAAGCATACATTCATACAGAAAATCTCAGGCGATAAATTTATATTTAAAATATTAAAGATATTAATGAAGAAGGAAATTACTGGAAAGTAATTGAAACTCATCTGAAGCGAGCTGAATGTGTAATGCTCCTCATGCCAATGACACTTCCACCGACCTTCTCTACGGCATATGACTTCACTGAATTTTGATGTGTTCCTCTCGAATTTATATTTAAACTGGGGTCATCAGGAGAGAATGTGCACCGTTTAGGGGCCTTCCTCTCCTAGGAAGTAAAACTAACGCAGATAAACCTCTTCCAATAACGTCATTTCGCTTAACTGAAAAAGTGGTAAATGACTGTATGAAACAGAAAACCAATAATAATAATAATAAAAATATAACATTTGGCTGTGATGCAAGTGCCTGGCTTTCTCTTATCGGACTAGTTGCCATGATGGGTATACTGAACTTAGCGTGCTTCTCTCAAATTTAAGGCTTAAGGCCGGTTGTAAACACCGGTTCCCGTACGATTATTTAAGTTAAGCAACGTCAAGCTTGGTCAGTACCTAGATGGGTGACAGCTTGGGAATGCCAAGTACTGTAAGCTTAGGAGCGCGGTTAGTGTAATAGATAATGTCTCGGAATTGTTAATCGCAGAGCTGATTTCTAATTCCTGTTGGGTTCGTTGTATTCACCTACGCGCATATACCCTTTTGAAAGATATGAATTCACCTCTTCTCCCACCGATATGGGTTAATTAGTAAGACTTGTATCACTAAGTTATTGTTATCGCCAAAAAAGTTTTTGCAATCTAAAATATTTTAAATAACCTGCAAAGTGTTTATAAACCGTAGAAAACAAATCATTCTCTCATTTAGTAGGAATAAATGACAGACAAATATCCGTACAATCAATTCTAGATTGTTCCAGTAATCACTGGCCTGCTTGGAACGGTCGAGAAACTCATGTAAACATGTAGAAGAATGTAGATTTATTGAAGAATGGAAACTTCCAATCACGTTAGGTCGGTGAGAATTTGTTGAAACTTGAATAAAGCATGGAATAATAATAATACAACACAAAATGTACTTAAGCAAAATGTATTGACACAAGAACGTGTGCACAATATTTACAGATAGTTTGGTATATTCTTGGGAAGACCGTTCCTGTAGAATGGGTTGACATTAGTCGCAGTCGGGCAGAGTCTCTGGATTGGATCTCTTCTTCCTCCCCGGTCTTCCTGGTACCAACCCATATTTATATGGTCGGTACTTCACTATGTAAATTAGGTGGATCGTACCACAACAGAATTCTATAGTAGAGTGTCCCTGATTTTAGTACTTTTTGCCAAGTGATCCCCTATGATGATAACCGGCCATACATTATGGGCAATTGCTTAAAAGTCTTGTCCACCTAAAACAATGCCACAAATATAAGCCAAAAGTCGACTTCGAACAACACATCGATCGTTCTATGTAGGCAAACAAACCAGAACCTGTGATTGAAGACAACGAAAAGTGTTTGTCAAATAACAAATGTCGTTATTTCAACGAGTCCGTCTGAAGCTACAAAAATATGAATATATTATAACGGTAATGTTAATAACTTTAATGATTAGGCTAATTACCATAATGTTCCAAGTGATTATAATCATTATGCTACTGATGATACTGATAATTTGTTTAAAATTTCAATTTTCGCATAAAATATGCAAGTATTTATTGTCATCGATAATTGCCTTTCTAGGTAATTGGTTTTTGTCGATCAATATCTCTTGAGTCAGAAAAAATCGATATGCGTCTAACGTCAATTCTGAATTAAGGTGCGTAGATATTATTGAATAAATATAGGATATATTTGTACATAACTATATGCATACACACACACACACACACACACACACACATATATATATATATATATATATATATATATATATATGAAGACAAAAGGAAAACTTACCTTAGCCGACGCGTTTTATCCCCCGATGGGCTTTATCAAGGCAAGTTTGAAATTTAATTTTGCGGCAAGTATTTATAAATAAAAATAAAAATGTCGTTAGTTTGTCAGGATTTTTAAATTTAAGAATGTTCATAAATATACATCAGGCTAAGTGAAACTCAAGTTAAATTATGGAGAATGTTAAGTGAAGGAATTTAATGTTACTGGTGATTCTTTTTTATGATTTAATTATTATTTATATTATTTTATTTTTGGATTAATTTATGTATTATATGTTTTAAATAATAGAAAGTTTTGAATTTAACAGTTTTCTTTTAAGTTTTTAGTCATGTATATTGACTAGGTAAAGGAGCATTTTCTACAGGACATTTGAAAATATCCAGGGCGCATATTCATATTTTAATATGATAGGATAAAAGAGGAATTGCCCGTCTAAGTAAGTAATTTTTCTATTTTAATAAGTGCGGAATTATATAAATCGAAGTTGCGGTTGCATTTATTTCTATGTATTAGCAATGCATTTAATAAATTGTTATCCATAAGATCCTTTTTCGTGTATATATATATATATATATATATATATATATATATATATATATATATATATACACATATTATATTCTGTCTTATAAAAAGGTACTATTTTAAACCGTAATACAAAGAAAGTAAAATAAATTACAGTATTCAATACTTAAATAAGGCAGTGTTATATAAGATCGTTTTAAATCAACGTGGTAACTAGAATCATCCAATGGTGTACGAAAACTACACCGTGTAGGTCATTCTGTCGTACAGGTTATTTTTTACAGTAAAAATGCGAACGTCGGAATTCCAATCAATAATAAAATAAAGAAAACATGGGTATGTCTTTTAAATAAGCAATTTGTATTTAGAAACATATGTATATAATTCCACAAAAGCCAAAAAGGAGTAAAAATAGATTTTAGTTGAGTTAAAGTCTTTGGGTATTTGTTCCACAGTAAAAAATAAAAACTATGGTGTAGAAAGACTTTGATTGTCAGCAACGATTCACTGACCGACGAACTGTTGATATTGGAGATGATTTGTTTGTAGTCGCCGATATATATTTCTTTCAGCACGCGTCTTCCCTGGTGTATGAACAGCTTGGAGACATCTGCATCTCTGCTGCTGAATGTCGAATTCTATGGGTTTTTATAAGAAATTTTTACCGGAAGTAGGCTCGAGAAAACAGGGTTTTAGTTTTCTCTCATTGGTCAAATATTTCACATTGTGATGTTAATTTCTAACCAATGATTTATTTATTTGATTTAAACGATGTGTGTTGTATTGTGGAATCTTTCTGGCATGTTTGCAAATATTGTCTGTTTTTGGTAAAAATAAAGTTTGGGGTTGTTTTAATATGGTAATTGTTGAGATGTTGGGAGTGTTCCCGCGTGTGTGTATTCAAATAAAGACAAACACAGTTGTAGGGAAAAATACTGGTATATTTGAGGAGGTATTTAACAACAGAGTGACTAGTAATAACGAACGCAGGTTAGTAATAACAATTAGCAAGAGTCTACAGTCCAACGGTATCTTCCGGTCAAGAGACGGAAGTGAGATGATCTCCTGATCTCCTGATCTCGTCATCTCGTCATCTCTCTAGCACTGACCTATATCGTAGAGGGATCAGTCCATTCTCAGTCAGAAGGTGGGTGCGCCCCAACAGTAATCTATGTGGGTATATAATTGAGGGAAATAGCGTTTCTTTCCTATAGTCTTATGCCATCAAAGGATTCTTGCAGTCGAAGACTGAACATTCGGAAGAGTAAAATATTCTTGCTTAGAAGGGCAATGATTGTTGCTTTAATACTACCTTATCCATCTCCTGGAGACCTAGTCATGGAGCAAGACGGGTTAGTCACCCGATAAACAAATATATTGACCAGCTATGTTATGGCACAGAATGCCTCTCTAACGACCTTCCGACCTTGATTCAGGACTGTGATGGTTAGCGTGATAAACTCATAAATGTCCGACCTAGCTCGACCGAATAAATAAATAATCTATCTATCCATCTATCTATATATATATATATATATATATATATATATATATATATATATATATATATATATATATACTGTCATTGATAGAAATCCCGCTTTAATAAGAAAAAAGAAACCAACTCTTAATAATATTAATTATAAACACGGCCATAATATGCTGGCTTTGTTCGTGAATAACATTCTATTGCTATAAAATAAAATCTACATATTAAGACAAACAAAAATCTTTAATCCGCACATTATTTGAGCATTGTTTTACACATTCGATATAAAAAGAACATCTGTAAACATGCAAAAATATAATAGAAAGCTTAATCGCAGTGCTTTGTGGGTTATCTTCAGTGAAATATATGCAAATAGATAGATAGATAGATAGATAGATATAGAGCTTAAATAAATGTGTCTGTGCATGCATTCATATAAACACGGCTTTTTACCTATGTATTGTTTTTTGCATGCATCTATTTATTTAAATATATGCATTTATATATTCGTTATGGAACATATATCAGTTGTAGATGTTCCTAGATATGGTTGTATGCGTGTAATTTATGCGTGTGTCTCTGCAAAATGGACGTATATTTTTGCAAATGGATGTAGCTGATGAACGAATGTGCACATAAATATGCATATATCATAATGGAGTTTCATGCATCTGATTTTCCAAGTGCATGCACAAACTGTTACTACAGATGTTTCTGACCACTGCTATTGTTATGCAATAAGTGACTGATGAGGGGAAGAATCGATCAATCTGACCCTCGATTTTATACCATCTGTAGCCATTTTAGATTTCACAAGAACTCCAGTGGACTGTAGCAGCTTAACTTGGAATATGAAAAACTTTATATGATTCAAACGATTTTTCAATTTTAACATTCATAGCAACAGTTAAGTTTATTAAATTAAATAAATACAATTTTTAAAAATAGTAAATTCTATTTAACATGTTTGATAGGAAATCATATATCTTTCCTTTTTATTTAAGTTAACGGAATTATGAAATTAAGTCATTGTTCAACGCCATGTTCGCTGGTTCGATCACTTTCTGCAGCGAGGTTATGACCCCCACCTCGACCAGATTTATTTGCAAGTTCATCCCGCCATCTGTAAACTGGTGATGACCTCGTGGCAGATCATACAGACGCTTGGAGAATGCCGTCCACCCGGACATCCAGCAAGTTAATCTGGCTTTGGATTATGTTACAACGCTTTGACAAGACCGTCAGAGCTGGAGTGACAAGGTGGCTCTTGTGAGCTCATGGTATGAGATTTGGAAACAGAAACAGCATTCAGAACTGTAATGTTAGTTGTAGTACTTAAGTGAATTTTACCTAACCTACAGTTGATTTTCTTTTTGGGGGGGGTATTGATAGCATTTTTTCTGCAATTACATTTCTTACTGGATCAATTTACACTCCACTAGAAAGTTTTTTTTTTGTTTTATTAATTGACGAGCCGTTAGTTTTAAGCTGGATCCTGATAACATCATTAGATTTCTTCGATAGCTTACGTCTAATTTCGAAGATTTACCAGTCTTTTTTTTATTTGTAAAACGCTCCCAACACCGGTATGTTTCTTTTTAAACGACTTGGACAAGCATAACTTATGCA